TTCTTATATCCCCGTCTCCAATTAACTGTCACCTCTGCTCCAGAATTATGAGATAGTGTTACATTGTGTACGACAATCACTTCCTCATACACTATAGGTGACAATGTTGAATGTGTGAGGGTACGGGGGGGGGATATTTTGGTGTCACCGGTGCCACAATTGCACACAGACGCTGCCATCAGTCGGTTCACCAGTGCGCACTAATACACAGCTGTGCTGGTGTTGTACAATCATCCAGAAGCATTGCGGCCGCACACACCGCAGTGTTAGTACCTCACGCTCTCCGCAGTCACGTTTCGGAGTGTCAGTGCCGCACACAATAGCGTTGGCGCTGTAAAAAACAGTTGCACGCAGCGGTCTCTGCGCTGCACGAACAGTCTCGCACAATGCTGGTTTGTGTCATTAGCCGTCCCCTCGCTGTGTTTGTTGCTCCCCGGATTAAACGCGAGATTAATCCCAGTTTAATACCCTGCAGAGGTGTTAGTGACCCCTCTCCCCCGCTGTGTGTGCAGTTGCCGCTGTCCGTTCCCACAATATCACCGCGCCGGCTGTGTGGCTCCACCTCGGTGACCCCATTCTTGTACAGCTGGGTGTAGAAGCGCTGTGGCGGGTGAGTGAAGAGAGGCTGCGATGTTCCATCGCCCCTCTCTGTGCCATTCGGAGCCCTAAGAGGATTTCCTTCATTTTTAGATACAATTTAAATTTTCTGTGTTTTAGTTTCACAAATACAAAATCTTTTTTTTTTTTTTTTTTAAACTTTATTCACTTCACGTTATTCATTAACAGGAATGTGTACCGTAACCCATAGCAACCAAGTTTTCAAAGCTATAGCCTCTGATTGGTTGTTATGAATTAATTCCACGTCACAGTTGCTGCTCTCATCTCCTCGTTGCAGGCGGCGGATTCCTCTCGATGAATTGCACATTTCCTTATTTCTGTTTGCTGTTAATAAAGTTTGTTTTGGGCTCCCCTCATTTGGATTGTATTTCTTGTTGTGTCAGGGGGGTCTCCTGCTCCTCCTCTCTTTTCTTGCTGCTCTTTATTCATAGAATTCTTGATGTTTCCTGGTTTCTGTATCCAATTTTTTCCCCCACGCGATGTGACAATCAGAAGAGATCTTTTAAATGTTTTTTTTTTTAATTCCTCCCCAGCAGCGTCAGGGCGGCCAAACTTTTTGGGCATGATAGAAGTCACCAGCGCTCGATGATATGTGCAAGAAGTAAAGCGCTTTTTATTAAATGGTCACTATGCCGCCCAGAAGAAGGGACCCTGCGTGGCCCCGAAACGTTGGCTGTTTGACGCATATTAATAAAAAGCGCTTTACTTCTTGCACATATCAAGTGCCGGTGACTTCTATTGGGGACTGCATCTGACACGGCGCCATACGTGTTGTCACTTCAAGCACCAACCTCTCGTCTAAGGTCTGTACGCTGTATGGAGTGCAGGTGATTTCATATTATCGATTTAACTTTTTGGGGAGTCTCCTTTCTGGTGGGTTTGGAGCCGCCAATCTGCCTTTTATTTCCTGGAAATATTTTATTGTACATATATACCCTGTTTCCCTGAAAATAAGACCTACCCCAAAAATAAGACCTAGTTGTGACCATTTCCAGGGCCGGTGGTGGCATGAGGGGGAACCTGAAGAGTCGCGGGAGAGAATCAGCGGTGCCAACGAAGCCGGCGCTAGAGGAAGCGAGGCGGCAGCGGAGGGAGCGGAGCCGCATAAGCCGATGTATCTTCTATAGCCCCGCCTCCTGTCACAGGCGGAGTCATACCAAATGCACTCCGCCTGTGAGGAATCCATAGTGAAAGCGTGCTGCGCTTATTCCGGTTACCAAATTGCTCTTGGAAAGGTACGGCACCCCTGATTCTTAACTTTGCTGTTTTGGATTATTTAATTTGGATTTGCATTAACTTTGGATTGTTGTACATTAAAAATAAATAAATAAATAAGACCTCCCCCGAAAATAAGACCTAGTGTGTTTTTTTGAGGCAAAAAAAAATAGTGACAGTGTCTTATTTTCGGGGAAACACGGTATATGTTTTTCAAAGAGATAAAGTTGCCTTGCCAAGTATTGATTGCTACAAATGTTTCTTTTCATGGTTGAGCTACTTACCCCGATCATATCCCATGATAGACTCTGACCCCTCACTTCCACAGCACAGGGCTCACTGATTTTGGGGCAGTACATGGGGACACCTTGATCCCCAAACTTCACTGTAGAACTTTTCATTTTTATATCCCAGGACCCAGCATAGAAAAAGGGTTCATTGATTTTATATTTTTAATATCTGAAGGGGCAGCTGAGGGGGTGGTGGTGGTGGTTGGGGTTCAGCATTCCTGCCTACCAGACACAGGAAGGTTACAGATCAATTTCCCGGCATCCCTGCACCTCCTGTGTGACTCTAGAGATGGGTAACAGCCCAGAACCCTCCAGCATGGGACTGGTCTTGGAAAGAATTGGGGCAGGGGGTGAATGTTTTTGAAGCTTCTTCTATTGGAAACACTTTTCAGATGCTGGTGTGCTTATGGGATCAATAGAGCAAGGGGTGACCCATCTGCAGTCCTCTTCCTATGGGGAGACCATTGGGCTGATTTACTAAAAAAAAGTTGAGAATCTCCATTTAAAAAAAAAAAGGGTGTATTATCTCCCCAATCAGTTATCCAATCATGTGAAACTCATCTGCACGACGGTGTTCAAAGTGAAATGGAAATTGCTTTTTACAGGATGAGGTAATTGAAGTGAATGTTTTTGCAGAATTTTGGGAGTGAAGGTTCTCAGCTCCTTCGGTAAGTCCGTCTCAGTGCCCGTTGTGACCGTTGTGCCCGTTGTGCCCATTGTGCCGGAGTCTCTTTAGAAGGGACATGTCATTATCTTAAAAATTTGAAACATTTTAAAAAGTAGAACAAATCAGAAAGTAAACTCCATGCTGGACAAACACGGTCCCCATACCAGAGTCACGTGTCTTCTGGAGTCTCGGTGAGCTTCGTGTATTTCTTCCAGATCTGAGCAGTAATCTTCCATGTTATCTCACGTCATCCGAAACACAAAATTAAAAAGTAAAACATTTGAAAATTGGGTTTTATTAATTTGACATTTTTAATCTTTGAATTTGTTGATCAGCACAGATCATTATTTTTATTTCTAGATTGTGGGATCGGGACCCCAGACCGGTACTGGGTAATATGAGGAGGGGTCTATATGTATGTAATAGGTAATATGAGGAGGGGGTCTATATGTATGTAATAGGTAATATGAGGAGGGGTCTATATATATGTGTAATATGTAATATGAGGAGGGGTCTATATGTATGTAATAGCCTATAGGTAATATGAGGAGGGGTCTATATGTATGTAATATGTTATATGAGGAGGGGTCTATATATCTGTAATAGGTAATATGAGGAGGGGTCTATATATATGTAATAGGTAATATGAGGAGGGGTCTATATATCTGTAATAGGTAATATGAGGGGTCTATATATATGTAATAGGTAATATGAGGAGGGGTCTATATATATGTGTAATATGTAATATGAGGAGGGGTCTATATATATGTGTAATATGTAATATGAGGAGGGGTCTATATGTATGTAATAGCCTATAGGTAATATGAGGAGGGGTCTATATGTATGTAATATGTTATATGAGGAGGGGTCTATATATCTGTAATAGGTAATATGAGGAGGGGTCTATATATATGTGTAATATGTAATATGAGGAGGGGTCTATATGTATGTAATAGCCTATAGGTAATATGAGGAGGGGTCTATATGTATGTAATAGCCTATAGGTAATATGAGGAGGGGTCTATATGTATGTAATAGCCTATAGGTAATATGAGGAGGGGTCTATATGTATGTAATAGCCTATAGGTAATATGAGGAGGGGTCTATATGTATGTAATAGCCTATAGGTAATATGAGGAGGGGTCTATATGTATGTAATAGCCTATAGGTAATATGAGGAGGGGTCTATATGTATGTAATAGCCTATAGGTAATATGAGGAGGGGTCTATATGTATGTAATAGCCTATAGGTAATATGAGGAGGGGTCTATATGTATGTAATAGCCTATAGGTAATATGAGGAGGGGTCTATATGTATGTAATAGCCTATAGGTAATATGAGGAGGGGTCTATATGTATGTAATAGCCTATAGGTAATATGAGGAGGGGTCTATATGTATGTAATAGCCTATAGGTAATATGAGGAGGGGTCTATATGTATGTAATAGCCTATAGGTAATATGAGGAGGGGTCTATATGTATGTAATAGCCTATAGGTAATATGAGGAGGGGTCTATATGTATGTAATAGCCTATAGGTAATATGAGGAGGGGTCTATATGTATGTAATAGCCTATAGGTAATATGAGGAGGGGTCTATATGTATGTAATAGCCTATAGGTAATATGAGGAGGGGTCTATATGTATGTAATAGCCTATAGGTAATATGAGGAGGGGTCTATATGTATGTAATAGCCTATAGGTAATATGAGGAGGGGTCTATATGTATGTAATAGCCTATAGGTAATATGAGGAGGGGTCTATATGTATGTAATAGCCTATAGGTAATATGAGGAGGGGTCTATATGTATGTAATAGCCTATAGGTAATATGAGGAGGGGTCTATATGTATGTAATAGCCTATAGGTAATATGAGGAGGGGTCTATATGTATGTAATATGTAATATGAGGAGGGGTCTATATATCTGTAATATGTAATATGAGGAGGGGTCTATATATATGTAATATGTAATATGAGGAGGGGGTCTATATATCTGTAATAGGTAATATGAGGAGGGGTCTATATATTGGTAATAGGTAATATGAGGAGGGGGTCTATATATTGGTAATAGGTAATATGAGGAGGGGGTCTATATATTGGTAATAGGTAATATGAGGAGGGGGTCTATATATTGGTAATAGGTGGGTAATATGAGGATGAGTCTGTAGCTCTATGCTGGGTAATATGAGGATGAGTCTGTAGCTCTATGCTGGGTAATATGAGGATGAGTCTGTAGCTCTATGCTGGGTAATATGAGGATGAGTCTGTAGCTCTATGCTGGGTAATATGAGGAGGGGCTTGCAATTCTATGAAGGTTGGATTATGTGAGGAGGGGTCTTCAGGATGCAAGTTTGGAAATATGAGGTAGGTTCTCTAGGATTGAGGTTGGGCAACGTGAGGAGGGGTTTCTAACACAGAGACGGGATAATGTAAGGTGGGGTCTTTAGGATGGAGGTTGTGTAATGTGAGGAGGGGTCTCTGGGATGGAGGTTGGGTAATGTGAGGAGAGGTCTCTAGGATGGAGGTTGGGTAATGTGGGGAGAGGTCTCCAGGATGGAGGTTGGGTAATGTGAGGAGAGATCTCTAGGATGGAGGTTAGGTAATGTGAGGAGGGGTCTCTAGGATGAAGGTTGAATAAAGTGAGGAGGGGTCTCCAGGACGGAGGTGTGCAACGTGAAGAGGGATCTCTAGGATGGAGGTTGGGTAATGTGAGGAGAGGTCTGTAGAATGGAGGATGAACATTATTAGGAAGGGTGTCTAGGACAGAGACATGATAATGCGAGGAGGGGGCTCTAGGATGGAGGTTGGATAATGTGAGGAGAGGTCTGTTGGATGAAGGTTGGGTAATGGGAGGAGGGGTCTGTGGTGTATAATGTGAGGAGGGGTTTCTAGGATGGAGGTTAGAAAATATGAGGAGGGGTCATTGGGATGTAGGTTGGATGACATGAGGAGGGGTGTCTAGGACAGAGGTTGGATGACATGAGGAGGGGTGACTAGGACAGAGGTTGGATGACATGAGGAGGGGTCTCTAGGACAGAGCTTGGATGACATGAGGAGGGGTCTCTAGGACAGAGGTTGGATGACATGAGGAGGGGGTCTTAGGACAGAGGTTGGATGACATTAGGAGGGGTCTCTAGGACAGAGGTTGGATGATATGAGGAGGGGGTCTTAGGACAGAGGTTGGACAACATGAGAAGGGGTCTCTAGGACAGAGTTTGGATGACATTGGAGGGGTCTCTAGCACAGAGGTTGGATGACATGAGGAGGGGTCTTAGGACGGAGGTTGGACGACATGAGGAGGGGTCTTAGGACGGAGGTTGGACGACATGAGGAGGGGTCTTAGGATGAAGGTTGGATAATGTGAGGAGGGGTGTCTAGGACAGAGGTTGGATGACATGAGGAGGGGTCTCTAGGACAGAGTTTGGATGACATTAGGAGGGGTCTCTAGGACAGAGCTTGGATGACACGACGAGTGGTCTCTAGGACAGAGGTTGAATAACATGAGGAGGGGGTCTTAGGACAGAGGTTGGATGATATGAGGAGGGGTCTCTAGGACAGAGGTTGGCTGACACAAGGAGGGGTCTCTAGGATGAAGGCTGGATAATGTGAGGAGGGGTGTCTAGCACAGAGGTTGGATGACATGAGGAGGGGTCTCAGGACAGAGGTTGTATGACATGAGGAGGGGTGTCTAGCACAGAGGTTGGATGACATGAGGAGGGGTCTCAGGACAGAGGTTGGATGACATGAGGAGGGGTCTCAGGACAGAGGTTGGATGACATTAGGAGGGGTCTCTAGGACAGAGGTTGGATGACATGAGGAGGGGTCTCAGGACAGAGGTTGGATGACATGAGGAGGGGTCTCTAGGACAGAGGTTTGATGACATGAGGAGTGGTCTCTAGGACAGAGGTTGGATGACATGAGGAGGGGTCTCTAGGATGACATGAGGAGGGGTCTCTTTCTGGGCTGGCTGGGTTATATGTGGAGAGTTCTCTAGCTATGTGCTGTCACTCTTGTTCTTAGAGTGGAACAGATGCGGTCCCCTCTCTGTTGATTCCTATTATCCGCTCTCGCATACTTCTGGCCATGATCCGGGTTTCCATAGTGAGAAGAATAATGGGGGACCATAGTCACAAATCCCCCTGCCCGCTGCACATAATAGAAGCTGCTTTTCAATAGATGACCCGTCTGGACACCAGAGAAAATGTGAGAGGCGATACTGTTACCAGCACATAGAGGTCCGCGATGTCCGCATAACTTCCTCCAAACTTCAAGTTCATTGTTAATATTGATGATGATTATTATTATTAATATTGATTATTATTATTATTACCCCATTATATTCTCTTGGAGCTCCCCACACTTTTTAGATGGTTCTCGGGTCCGGCGTCATGTGATGAGAAGAAGATCTGTTTTTTTTATCAATCCTTTATTTAAAAAGAAAACACTGAAAGTTACATCTGTTACATATTCATTCCGGCATGAAGATGGCGATGTGCGGAGAGGTGCTGCAGGTTGGCAGTTGGGTTGTAGAAAGTACAGGACTGATCATTGGGCAGTTTTATCGGTCACACTTGTATCATATTTTTTTTTCAAAATCCTAAAGAGTTTTTGATGTTTTATACAATCTCATAAACATCTGATTCTCACAAGGAAAGATCCCATTTATCTCTGATGACATCAAGCCACATAGGTGCAATAAGTCCAACCGTGACATTTCCCGGCTACTAAATATTCCGCCGCGGTCACCTGTTACTGGGATTATAACAAAGTGGAAGCAACTGGGAACAACAGCAACTCAGCCAGGAAGTGGTCGGCCGCGTCACATGACAGAGCGGGGTCAGCGCATGCTGAAGCGCACAGTGCGCAGAAGTCGCCAACTGTCTGCAGAGTCAATAGCTACAGACCTCCAAACTCCATGCGGCCTTCAGATTGGCACAACAACAGTGCGTAGAGAGCTTCATGGAATGGGTTTCCATGGCCGAGCAGCTGCATCCAAGCCGCACATCACCAAGTGCAATGCAAAGCGTGGGATGCCGTGGTGTAAAGCGCGCCGCCACTGGACTCTAGAGAAGTGGAGACGTGTTCTCTGGACATGGATGGGGGAGTTTGGGGGGGAGGAACGTGACTGGCCGCACAGAGTCCTGACCTCAACCACATAGAACACCTTTGGGATGAATTAGAGCGGAGACTGCGAGCCCCTCCCCCAACATCAGTATCTGACCTCACAAATGGTCCAACATTTCCATAGACACACTCCTAAGCCTTGTGGACGCCTTCCCAGAAGAGGCGGAGCTGTTATAGCGGCAAAGGGCGGAGCCAACCCAATACTGAACCCTACAGACTAAGACTGGGATGCCATTAACGTTCATGTGCGTGTAAAGGCGTCCCAATACTTTTGGCAATATAAAGGATATACAAAAGGACACACCCTCTGCCCCGCCCCTATTTACATGGACCAGGAAGAATCAATATGTAAAAATTATTAATTGAGCCCACATCCCGTCCATCAAAATTTATGTTGGGTGGAAGGTCGGGTGTTCTTTATTTGATGGAGGTGTAAGTGAGGAGTGAGGGGAGAAAAGAGGCACCAAAAGAAGGACAACTGAGGAGTGAGGGGCGACAGAAGCACCAAAAGAAGGACAACTGAGGAGTATGGGGGGACAGAAGCACCAAAAGAGGGACAACTGAGGAGTGAGGGGAGAAAAGAGGCACCAAAAGAAGGACAACTGAGGAGTGAGGGGGGACAGAAGCACCAAAAGAAGGACAACTGAGGAGTATGGGGGGACAGAAGCACCAAAAGAGGGACAACTGAGGAGTATGGGGGGACAGAAGCACCAAAAGAGGGACAACTGAGGAGTGAGGGGGGACAGAAGCACCAAAAGAAGGACAATTGAGGAGTGAGGGGAGAAAAGAAGCACCAAAAGAAGGACAACTGAGGAGTGAGGGGGGACAGAAGCACCAAAAGAAGGACAACTGAGG